CGACGTATAATAACACCCCTTTCATAGCACGAGAATAGGTATTAGTACTACTATAATTTATTTATGAAGKCAGATTAGAAGCTAAGTCAATCCTTTTAAGGCCCTTATGCACCTGTCCACACAACCATGTCATTATTACCAGGTCTTTTGTTTATGCAAAGTTCACCTGGTGCAGAGTCAGCAGGAGGCCAGTTTGCCACTTATCCTGGGAGCACAAGAAGCTCATTTTGCCCCAATACACTGGCTGYAAGAGCACAAGATAATGACTGCTCTACTCACAGGCAAAATATCCCACCCAGCAATTCTAAAGAAGCCATATATCCCACATGTACATGTCCCATTCTCATGGTCTAGGCACATGTTCTAACAGGCCACAGAAGCCCAGCAAACTCTGCTTGATCTTGGGTTGTACTTCAACAGCCAGGCAAGCACAAACTGATTCAGGAAGTTCAAATCACTTTCCCACCACTCAGGAACTACACAGCCATGTGCACATATGGCATGAATCCCAACCCGTACCCTCTGTGTGTTTGGCCAGCTATACAAGCTACTGCAGAAAAGCTGTGTGTACCCCTTGTGGTGGTTTGCTATCATGTAAGGGAGAGGAGGAAGATGCATTCCCACCTCTTCCAATTCACACAGTGTCCATGAAAACCGTGATGTATCCCACACTAAGTGCTTCCTACCTTGGTTGTCTGTCTTTCAGAAAAAGAAACTGARGACAAAATATCCCTAAATCATTTTAAAATAAAACCCAAGATTGATTGCTTGCCCAACCTTTGTTCTTATGCCAACTTCCAATCACACAGTTGAAATTTTTATTGTTATCACCCTATGGAGGCTTGCAGCATTCAATTTCCTTATTAGGGTGCACTCTGTCAAGTTCAGTATGAGGGAGAGTTTATCCAGGTTGTTATTTTACAAACGAGTGAGTGGATTAACAGGCAGTTGAATCAATCCATGAATATACATTTGAAGCCAGAAATTATTTTCTGCAAGTTAGCAGTCCAAAGATTTTGGTGTTTTGTTTTCTTTTTGGGAGGGTTGTTGTCGGGTTCTTGTGTGCGTGGTTTCTTCTTCTATTTGTTTTGGGGGGTTTTTGGTTTGTTTCTTTATACATGACAGAGGGTACATAACCCTTACCCAAAAATTAGTCTTTTGGCTCATTTCAAGACCAGCACGGACAAAAGTTTGTTCTTTTGAAGCTGGATRTTCACTCTTTGCAACAACACTTGCCAGTAAAAGTCAAGACATAGGACCAGAATGAACCATTACTTTGTACATTTTTGTCAAATGGGGTACCAGGATCAAACAGGAAGAATTTCTTTATAGTAAAAAATGAGAAGTAGCTTGGAGATATAAAAGCAACCCAAACTGCAATATGGGGAATACATAACACTCTTTGGAGAGCATCCCCAATGCTACTACATAAAGGAGCAGCTCAATAGGGAAACTAAACTCACCCTGACTCTCAGTTGGTTTCAAGCATGGCAGTAACTTAATATCAATTACTGTATGCAACTTGGTGTGTGCCATTAAACCTGCTTTGTTTCATTAAAAACAAATTGCTGCTCTAGTTAATCCTTCTGAYTGTCAATTCAAACTGGAAGCCAGATTTCCAGCTCTTCTCTAACTTCGCATCGATGAACAGTTTGATGTCTATGGTTTTAGCCTTCCGGGCTGTCAGTAGTCACAGTGAGGTGCTGCAGTGCTGGTGCTGAACTCATGGCAGAGAAGCAGCAGCTCACACAGCATATGCTCAACCACCACAGCACAGTTACTCTATACAGCCATTTCATGGTATAGAGCTGCTGAAGGGTCTGGGGCACAAGTCTTATGAGGAGCAGCTTAGGGAGAAAGGAGGCTCAGGAGATACCTTATTACTCACAACAGCTACCTGAAAGGAGGCTRTAGCAAGGTGAGGGTCGGCCTCTTTCCCCAAGTAAAAAATGACAGGACAAAAGGAAAAAGATTCAAATTGCATCCAGAAAGATTTGGACTGGATATTTGGGAAAATTTAAATTTCTTTATGGAAAGTGTTGTCAGGTACTGGAGTAGACTGCACAGGATTTGAGTTGTCATCCTTGGAGATATTTAAAAGATGTGTAGATGTGGCACGTAGGGACATGGKTTAGCAGTGGACTTGACAGTGCTGGGATGACAGACTCACTAAGGGTCTTTTCCAACCTTAATAAATTCTATGATTCTGTGAATATAACTTGAGCTAGCCTCCAYGTGAACAGAGAAACACCACCAGCTCAAGCTGTACTACTCAAGTGAGGACAAGTCATTAATCACAGYACTTTAGCTTCCCAAATGCATTGTGACAGCAGGTGTTGCACAAGAAGTGAGAATATAATGTTCTTACATTAGGAAGGAGACAGGAAGAAAAGGTGTGTAAGAAAACACTAGTACTTCAAATACAAAACCCCAACTCTCCCAAAAAGCACAGTGTCAAAGACAAAGTAACTCTCCAATTCTACGGAGCTATTTATCTCTACCTTTGACATCAAATGGAAAATAACTGAACTTGTAGGATCTAAGGACAACTGCTGGTTTMATTTCATTTTTCAATCAAACCATGYCTGCTCTATTTCACTTTTTGGTTGACTTGGTGACTCAGGCTGTATCAGGCTCTCAAGGCAACATGATGCTTGTCACCACTGCAAAGCACATGGCTCTTTATATTCTCCAATGCTGAACTTCACTGTTTCCAACTACAGGCTGTTTCCATGACTTTCATCAGACCCATACAGACTTGACTTATTAGTCACCACATCAACAGCCCCCCAAAACACATCCATTTTGATTAATTGATCTTTAGTTCTTTGAAATACTTTTTCAAACTATAATTTTCCYTTTTTCAAATATCACTCAGACAAGGCTGACTCATCAAGCTAGCTTGCTSTGTTGTGAAACTAAAATAAATGACTTTAACCTAGACATACTTTCTGAGCATGACAGGGCAAAAAACTCACAACACAACCAATTCCAGTGGTGTCAACACTGGTGCAACTGACCAGCAACCCTGAGTATAAAGCCACCTGCCCCACCAAGGACAAGCATGCAGTATTACACCCTCTTCCATACTGCCCATCCGCTAACTCGAACAGTATTGAGCTAAACTGAAGGATTTGCCTGAATACTGTAGAGTAGCTGATATCTCTGCACTAAGTAGCCAAAAGAAGAGCGGGCAGAAGACACTGAATGTCAAATAATAATATACACCTGCATACAGCTGGACAGTGTCTTCCACATGCCATGGCTTCAAACATGGCCAGACAAAAGGTAAAAACCTCGCCACATCCAGTGCCACTGTTTGTACATACAAATGAATAGTACTTGCCAAGTCACTATTTCAAGGGCATATGCACAGACAGCAAAAATGAAATTTTTCAGAAGGAACATCCTCTGTTGGTTTTGTTTGGTCCCTTTTTGGGTAGTGGGGGGGACAAAGATGGCTCCTGTAAGACCCAATACACATCCTCTCTCCTTTACAGAAATAATAAAACAACATCTCAAATTTGTTTGGGCCTACACAGTCTGATGCATTTGAAATTTAAGTCAAAAGTATGTTTCAAAAAAATGCTTTAAATAGTTGCTCATCAGTCACTGATGAAAGATAAATAAACCCTAGGGACCCCCAAGCTGAGGCATGTGACAGATTTCTACCTCAYGCAGTTTATTATTAATATTAACTATGCTTTTCCTTTTCAGATTCATAGTAGCAAAAGACGTGACGGGACCATTTTGCAGCACTTCCACAGCAYAATTCTTAAATGCTTTATTGGAGGGTTGCTCTCCCCAGTATGGAAACACCCATAAGTCACTTAGCACTGACTGTGACATCACACYTAAATAATCTTTAGGAAGCCTCACGAAGCACGCATTTTGCAAGTTTCCTTCTAACAAAGTACTTTAGAGTTTCAGAAAGGCCCAGGGAAGTCTCTCTGGAAGGTGAACACATTTAACAGCACACTCCTAAATACTGAACACAGTACACWAGAATTTCTCTAACAATTTCTGTGAAGAATTCTTCTGCTGTAAGTTAAGAGCAGTTATCTGGAAGTCAGAAGCAGCACTACAGTAAAACTGCTGGAACTGCATTTGTAGCTCTTTCAAAGCAAATGTATAAGGAAACTGATTATAAAAGAAAACTACATATGCTCTGGTAATTCAYTGATTCACTGTTGTCAGGTGAAGATTCCACCAAACTCCTACTAACAGAGAACAAACAAATGGATAACAGTTGTCATTCATTCCAGTGGAATTACCTGTTTAGTCAAGTGCCAGCAAACAGTCACATCTCCCAGCAATTTCAAAGGTCTGGTCTTTCTACAAGATCCTAAGCTCATGCTCCCATCTCCCCCAGAAAAATCAATATAATTGCAACCCCTGCTTCTTTCAAATGGTTACAGGCTACCTGCTGTATTCTACATTATAACTAATTGAATATACTGAATACATACAGGTGYAGCTTAGTSTCTGAAATGCCTAKTCAAAGAAAAATAGTTTAYAACTGGCTTTAGAAAGAAGCAMATGAAATTCAAGACTTTTCCYTTWTTTTCTGTTATTTCCCAATCCTAAACAGTATTTGCATGTGAAACATTTAAACCAAGATCATAAACAAAATCACGGATGATAAAGAGACTGAAAGCATTATTGGAAGTGACTTGCTAACTTGCTTCAGATAATAGCTAAACTTGCTGAGATGCATTATTTGGTCAATATTTCTCATTTGGTTTAATGAATCATGATGGATGGCCAAATGAGAGGCAATCTTTCTTCAACATAGTGAGTCAAGCATGTATCCCAGTATAAAAGAGCAAAACATTTCAGCACAAGAAGACATTTCAACAAGGCATACATCTCTTCGTGCAAGTGCAGGTGCTGTAGGAAGCAGACATGACCTTTRTATAGGCTCTGAAATCCAGACCTTTTCTACCAATTCCCTCCAGACAAAATATGAAAATACTACAAAAAACAAAATGAAATCTTACGGCTTGAAATGCAGTAAGCCAGCCTGCAGTTGATCCTCCTGAACAGTTGCTTGTTGAATGGCCAAAGTATAAGTGTAAAGAGTTGAATGAAGTTAATGATCAGTCCTGAYACTATAAATATGTAGCAGATCAGAAGGTGGCAAATGAATTGCGACTTCAGAAAGCCAACGGTGTCCATGACTTGCTGAGAAAGCAAGAGGGTACCTTCAGACACAAAATTCAGAAGACAACCTGCAAAACCAAATAGTATCAGCAGTTACAGAGTGCATTTATTTCTATAAACAGACTTAAAACAGACTTCACATGTACACTTAAACACACTTAAAGTTAAATCTATTATAGGAAAAGCTTGATATCAGTATTTGCAAAAGTAAGAATGGAARGAGAATGCCATATTTCTGAATCATTTTACATTTGGCTCTGGAAACAAATTTTTAYATTTCAATCCTGCAAAAACATATGAGCATATGACTCCACTCCATGGAGTACAATACTCCTCTACAAGGTCTTCATTGACAAAATGAGCAAATAACTTGGTTTGAACAATATAACTTTGATATGAACTTGTATTTTGATTTTAGTTGCCTGTATTTTGCAAGACATATAGTGTCACCTCTGCAATCTTAAAGAGCAGCTCCAAAGTAAATGCAAGCTTTAGAGCTTTGCTAKGAGTTGTGCCTTTCTCTACAAGTTATATCAGCCATGGTCCCCAAACAAGAGGTAGCAGCAGCCCCTGAAGTCTAGCTTTATTGTCTTATTTCCCTCTCACACTCAAATAACAGTTGATTTTGGCAAGAGAATAAAAGCTTGGCTAYGCACAATATACACAATTTGTTCAATTATTCCTTGACACTGATTCTGTCAGTTATAATCCATAAACCCAGAAAGGAAACATCAATAACAGTACTAACCCGTGACACAGCAATGTTTCCAGAAAAAAAAATTAACTCTAAGGTTACTTATGAAATGTCTGTATAATTTTGGAAYGGTCCAGTCCAACGTTAGCAATTGAGCATTCAGAGTCCTCCTCAGAGTATTCTGACCTACAAAATGCAGAGCCCTCCCCCCACCATCACGACCACTACTGCTAAAATGAAGACATATCTCTAAGTAAACACAATCCCCAGTATTCAGTCTAATACAGTTAAACAGGAGGTGCTGCTACCATCCTGTTCCATTCCTCCACTGTTTTCTCCACTCTGAGGTGTGGAAGTTTTCCCAGGGAGGAAGCCCTGAGACAGTATTTCTGAATGTGCCAGTCACATGCAATAACAAAACAGCAGCTGTCAGCAGCCCAGGGAATTAACTGATGAAAAAAATKTTATGCCTATCCTTTTAGTTTATATGAGACTCCATTATGTGAGGCACTGAGTCTAGATCAGTGTCCTGAAACATTTGTTTTACTGCCCTTTGCTGACTCTGCTTGCCACAGCAAAGAGCACACACAAGAATTGTTGCAAAGCCTTCGGAAGTTATTTAGCCAGTTTTTCAACCGCAAGGAAGACAAGGAAAAATTTAAGAAAGAGAATCGGTATTGTTGTATAATTTATATAAATAGTTTATGGCAGTCCCAAGCCTATTATTAGAAGACAAAATGTGCCCTTTTGTTCCCTTTATCTTGCTGTACTATTCAGTACCACAGCTGACACCAGCTGTAGCTCAGAATGGCAGAACAGGCCTCTATTCATTGTAGCAACCACAGTCATGATACTTGCAAAAAGCTTTTTCAGCTTTAACCAACTCCTGTTAAAGATATGGTTCTTAGGGTGGCACACAATTTACTAGCTTGGGCTTTGACCAAAGGCTTTGTTTTTGACGGCTAAGGAGAATGAGAAATGTTGTCTAGTAGGAACCACTGCTGTGCTGCTTCTCAAACCCTTCCACTGAACACTCTGAAGACAGAGCCAAACAATAAAAAAAAAACCCAGGCAGCAACCTTCTTTAAAACAGTCAGAATGGAAGCAACCAGATACTTAGAAGTGGATGGTTTCAAAGGCTCTACAGTGTCCAAAACCCTGGCGACTGGGCTTATCCTACTGTCTTTGGCTAAAACTGATCAGAAGTTTTTTGTGTTGCTCTGCCTGTTTAATGCTACCCCAGAGAATAATGTAATTCCCAGAGATCAGCTAGACATGAGATAAAACATAAAAACAGCAGCCACAAATAAAGACTGGAGCACTGTTTACTGAGAGAAGATGCAAAAGCTCATTATTTGATATAATCAACATAAACATACTGTAATAAACAGCTGACAGACTTTGTAACAAGARTAATTAGTCTTTTTGCCCATTAATWATCCAGCAAAAATTTTTTGGTTACCTTTTCATTATAACAGTCATCTAACTTTATTAAAATGCTACTTTTATGTGAATCATTTACTTCCTGCTGGGTCTTTAAAACAAAACTTCACAGAAMTAAAATAAACAAAGATGGGATGACCCTGATAAACTGTAATTATTGTCTTACAATTTTATTAWGCCACAATGCAATGTCTGAAAGTAATTTATTCCTCACTTTCATACCCAGCATTTAAAATTCAACTCTGTAAAGCTTYTAAGACCAGTTTTAAAGCAAACTAAATCTACTTAAGCAGCACCATTCAAAGGCATCTAACCTAACTTGCTTGTAAAAGGAACAAGAAATGAGACACTGCTTAAATTCTTCTTTTTCTGAGAAGTAGGAATAACACAGAAAATTTTTCTCTTCAGATTAAAGCCTGTTTTCCCTATAAAATGTGCAATCTAAAGATGTATACAGAAAGCTACATAAGTGTTCTATTTCTCAGACATAAGCTCATTCTTACATGATTTTTTTTTTTGGATTGTTTTCATTATCCAAACTCCAAGAATGCAATTTATTCTTAGTACAAGTAACAAAAAGAAACAGTTCTGATCTCATGAATGGCATCTGGAAACATGGGTTAAAGAGTCCACAGCACGTTATACTTACTCTGTCCTACTAAAAGTCCTCATGGGTAACATCAATGTAACACCAGTTTAAGTGATAAAAGAGTCAGGTCTTTAATTCTTAATCCATGATGCTGGTTTAATAAATTACTAATTTCCTTATAGATAATGACTGAAAATTACAGCAATCTTTTAAAAACAAAAGGGCCAATCAATGCATTTTCTCAGAAGCTATTAAGRTCAGAATGCTGCCAAGAAGCTCTCTTCAGTCAAACACTCCTTAAAATTAATTAGGAGAAAATGGYTAGCTAGAGCAACTAGACTAGATAGGGACATTCTTTATTAACAGTTTTCCTCTGGATACAGAAGAAAAGACTCAAACCTCAAATGTCTGTTTAGGGACCAAGACAACAACTATCTATTCATGTGACTAAGAGGTCACAGGTTCAGGTTTAAAAGCAAATTATATTACTATTCATTCTAACTCTTTTCTCTCCAACTTCCATTTTTCAGTAAGATCCACTGTGTTTTCTACCTCAACTACTCTCAGCATTTCCTTCTGCTTGTAATAACTGACCAAAAGGACAGAGAAGTGATACGCAAAGTGAAAAACTCTCTGCCAGCAGAGGCTGCTGCCAATGAACCTATTTCATACTTCTAAATCTGTGTTGAGACTGCATCTGGAGATTTCATAAAGAATACAACTGTTTGCACTTTCAGAGAAAGCACAAGAACAAAGCAAAGAACCGTCACCCACTGTTTCTGAAGTTTATGTAGTATATAGAGTTCTTGGAGTGTGGAAAGCAACATGGTAAGTATCTGACAGTATCTAGATYAAACTGATATTGCCCACTTAGAAAGAGAGGTAATTCAGCACTATACCTCTTTTTTTTCAGCATGTATTTCAAGCTTGCACAAAGGTTTCACGCACATCTAGTCTTTGATGAAGACCTCAAATGCTTTGCTGCAAGTTAAAAACAACCAACCAGATGATGATGATGCCTATTCCTGCATTTTCTCATCTAAACCAGATTCTYGGATGGATGAGTTACAAAGACTAAYATGAAAATAYGCTCAGGTCAGATTAAGCAGTTTCAGCAGTACCTTTTAAGTCAATTTCAGTTGCCACCAAAATCCCTGTATTTGGCACTGGTGAGGCCAAAATTGAGTACTGCATCCAATTCTAAGCCCCTCACTTCAAGAAGGACATTGAGATGCTGGAGCAAGTCCAGAGAAGGGCAACAAAGCTGGTGAAAGGCCTGGAGCACACATCTTGTGAGGAGCAGCTTAGGGAGCTGGGGGTGTTTAGGCAGGAGAAAAGGAGACTTAGAAGTGACCTCACTGCTGTCTACAACTGCCTGAAAGGAGGGTGTGGCCAGGGTGTGGCCAGGGTCTGGTTCTCCCAGGAACCAGAGACAGGACAAGAGGAGACAGTCTTAAGCAGGGGAGGTTAAGGTTGGGCATCAAGAGGAATTTCTTCACAGAAAGGATGATTAGACATTAGAATGGACTGCTGAGAGAGATGGTGGAGTCGCTGACCCTGGAGATGTTTAAAGGAAAGACTGGATGTGGCACTCAGTGCCATGGTCTGGTTGACAAGCTGGTGTTCAGCCACAGGTTGGACTCGATCCCTAACGTCTTTTCCAACCTTGATTCTGTGATTCTCTGAAAAAAGCACAGCAGCACTGCATATACATCAGAGTCTATTTTAGCAGTACCGCTGTACATGAAACAATATGCAAAGCAAGTCACAGGAAGCCCTTGTGCTCTTCTCTGTCCGTGAGTATSAAGTGAGCAAAAGTGACGTTGCATCCATGTATGTATTCACCTGTGAGGAGACCGTATATGTACATGCCACACCAAAAAAACCCACAAATCTGGAGGAAGAACTACCCATCTATTTGCCTCATTCTTAATTAGGGTTTGAATCAYTTCCCATCTCCCCCAAAGCAACTACTGGAGCATTATCCCCCGTGTTGGGTTTACAAAGCAATGTTTTAGTAGTGAGGGACTGGAGAGATGGCTCCTGTCAGAAGACACCAAGAGCTGTCCCCCACATCAGAAAACCAGTTCTAGACAGCTCCAGAAGGGACTCACCACTGGGCTAAGCCAAACCAATCACTAGCACTAGTGGCACCTCTGCAATAACACTTAAGAAAGAATGAAAAAAAATGCTGCACAGCAGCTGTGAGTGAGGACTGAGAAACACGTGAGAGGAATAGTCCTTCCGACACCGAGGTCAGGGAAGAAGGTGGGAAAGGATGTGCTCCAGGCACTCTCCTGCAGCCTGTGGTGAAGACCACGGTGAAACATGTTGTCCTGCTG